TATTGGGATTTTTCTGGGTTTGATATGAAGAGAAAGTAAATTAAAAGAAGAGAAATATGGGTTTTAATTGAAGAGAAAGCAAATGAAAGGAGAGTTTATGAGTTTGATTATTAGTGGAAGCAAATCTGGGCTTGCGAAGAAGAAAATGCAAACCAGAGAAGAAAAGTAGAGGACTGGGGAGAGAGAATCAAATAAAAAAAGTGTGTATTAATAAAATAAAATATTAAAAAAATGAATAAAAAAATGACAAAAAAGTATTTTAGCTCTAAAATAATTTAGTCTCTGATTTAGTCCAACACTACACCAAACGCTTCATTATTCTTATACTACTTAGTCCATGCCAAGCCAATTCAGCTTAGTCCCTGAAGTTAGTTCAGTGCAATAAACGCACCCTAAGTGTTTTGGGTTTGCATGCTGTTCCAGTTTTAGATGTGGTCTTCTTCCATGAAAAAATGAATGGAATTAAGGGAATAGCCATGGTTTTGGGTATTTGCCAGACTAAGATGGAGGATCTAAATTCCGGGAATAGTGATGTTTCGAAAGCTTTAAATGATTGAAAACATGTTTCAGTTCATCGGAATGAATATTCAAGTGGAAAGCAATAGACTTTTATTACGACAATTGGAAAGTTTGTTAAAGGGCTTCCGGCTTGCCTTTCATTCCAGTTGTAGCTGTAGTCTTCTTCAATGATACGAGCATATTATGCAACGTTTGTTCTTTAATTTATCTATAAATACTTTCACTAAAAGACATATATAGAAGTAACTAATTAACTAACTAGATTTGATGAAACATAGCATTAGTGAAAGGCTGCAGACAACTAAACCCCAAACAGAATAAACAACGGTTTACATTTGAAAAACCTACGACAAATATGATGAAGCTACTAGTACTGCAGTACACTAATCAGTGTATATATACACACACACACACACACATCCTCGTTACATGACACTGAAAACAAGGTCACTCAATACGAATGGTACATGCTTGATCATCAATGGTGCTAGTACTGCATCCGCATGATTCTGCTGCAGTATCAATGGTGGGGTTAGGATACTTAAAACCATGAGTTTTGTAATATTTATTGAAGTGAAGATTGCAGAGAACTACAAGGAGGAAGGTGACGACGTAGATAGACAAGGCATCACATTTGAACCACAAAGGAAATGGGATGGAGATGGATATGAAAAAAGCTGTAACCCCAAAGAAGAGGCCAAGTTGATGGAAAATCGGGGCAATTGTTATTCCGGCGGGACAGTAACTGAAGTGAATAAACTTGCTTACCAAGATACAAGTGAAGGCAAGTAAGACTGAGAGTCCAAGAAAGTGAAAGATTACAGGGAGATGGAGCTGGCTGGAGGGACCTTGGAAGGGGAAAACTACTATTCCTAAAGAGGCATATAAATAGTTTGTTGTATTTCTGTTACAAGTGTGTTACAGTTGTCCTTGTAACTAATTACTAGATTAGTGAGTTATCTAAGTGTAATTAGTTACTAACCTATTTTTCTCTGCTGTATATAAACCCATTGTAATTTCTTATTCATTAAGAAATGAAATATAAGAGATTATTTCTCATATGGTATCAGAGCCAGGTTGCCAAACCTGTTACTATTCGCATTCTCCTTACACTTGCCGTCCAATATGATTGGTTTTTAACCAACTTGACATCAGCAATGCCTTTCTTCATGGCAATCTCCAAGAAGAGGTTTTTATGCAACAACCACCCGGTTTTATTGATCCATCCAAACCTTCACATGTTTGCAAACTCAACCGCTCTCTCTATGGCTTAAAGTAAGCTCCTAGGGCATGGTATGACAAGCTTTTTCACACTCTGGTATCTCTTGGTTTTACAACTCTCAATCTGATTGCTCTCTATTTGTGAAACTTCAACCATTTCATGTCCTAGTTCTTGTATATGTGGATGATATACTGGTAACTGGTCCCAATACCTCTCTATGTCAACACTTTATTCAGCAGCTTGGTTCCTTATTTCCAGTTAAGGATTTAGGCCCATTGCACTATTTCCTTGGCCTGAAGTTCATAGATCCAATGACGGCATCTTTCTGTCTCAAAGCAAATATGCTTTAGATCTCTTACTCAAGACAAACATGGAAGGTTGTAAGCCTTGTGTTACCCCTTTGGGAACTCAAAAGCTTGATCATGTTGGCGTTCCATTAGCTGATCCTATAGAATACATGTCTATCGTCGGGGCTCTACAGTATCTCACTTGGACCAGACCTGATCTTTCTTTTGCCGTGAATCAAGTCTTCCAATTTCTTCATTGTCCTCGTGATTCACACTTTCAGGCTATCAAAAGAATCTTACGGTTCTTAAAAGGTACATTTGATCAAGGAATGTGGTTTAAGAAGAGTTCTTTGCAAATTACAGCCTATTTTGATGTAGATTGGGCTGGTTATGTGTTTGATCGAAGGTCTACAAGTGGCTACTGTATATATTTGGGCAGAAACTTGATTAGTTGGAGTGCAAAAAAGCAACATATTGTTGCTCGATCTTCTACTGAAGCCGAATATAGATCTCTTGCGCACACTGCAGCTGAACTCACATGGGTGTGTAAAATTTTCAGAGATATTGCTCTTCGCCTCACTGTCATTCCTACTCTTTGGTGTGACAATGTCTCTGCAATTTCTCTAGCCTCAAATCCAGTTTTTCATGCTCGGACAAAGCATGTGGAAAAATATTACCATTACATTCGTGAACTAGTTCTTGCCAAACTGCTCCGAGTACAATACCTCAATACTCAGCATCAAGTTGCTGATATCCACACTAAATCTCTTTCCAAAGCTCGGTTTCAATATCTTCAATCCACACTTTCACTCGGTTCTCCTCCGTTTAGCTTGAGGGGGTGTAAAGAGGCATATAAATAGTTGGTTGTATTTCTGTTACAAGTGTGTTACAGTTGTCCTTGTAACTAATTATTAGATTAGTGAGTTATCTAAGTGTAATTAGTTACTAAGCTATTTTTCTCTGCTGTATATAAACCCATTGTAATTTCTTATTCATTAAGAAATGAAATATCAGAGATTATTTCTCATAATTCCCATCACCAATGTCAAGCAAAACACTACGATTATCGTTGCCCAGTCTAAGTTGTTGTTGTCGTACTTACTGTTAGTCCTCCCGTCTGCAACTTGTTGCCTCGCGGGCTTTAGGTCACGATGGGAATCGTGATCTCGATCGATGGGACTAATTATCAGAAGTTTGAGCCGTTGGGCTGGCGTTACTGTAACTGCAAGGAGAAAAGGCTTCAAGTACTGATCCCAAGCAGTATTAACAACAGAATTCATTTTATTCTGCACAAAGGTTGGAAGAGATGGAGATATATCGGGAGGTAGAGGTACTTGATGATGATATGGTTTGTGAGATTTGATGGCTTGAATGCTCAGGAAATGGTTTGCATGCAGATCATATATAGACTGGCGAAGAGAGAAAAATGGCAGATTTCTGGAACTTACCTAGTAATTTAAAAAAGAAAATTCTATAATTAATTAATAAGTACTTCGATTCTATAATTAATTAATAAGTACTTGGACGCATGCCGTCTTGGAATCTTGACACTGGATATTGTTGTTATGTTGCTTGAAATGTTATGTCGCCTGTACAATAATATTATATCACCCATATGTTGCTTGAAATGTTATGTCGCCTGTACAATAATATTATATCACCTATATAATATTATATCACCTATACAGTGCGTGCAATATCATATTGGCTTTATGTCGTATATACAATAATATTATATCACCTATATAGGCATCCTATAAAACCGTAGGTGATGAAATATTATCATTTTCCTTAAAAAGGTTTTCAAGGTACCGGTGCTTAAAAAGTAGGATTAAATATAATATGTAAAATCCAAACTTATGCTTGCTTTCATATTTTTTTTTTAAGTCTAACGATATATTTTTATACTACAAGGAAAGAAATTTAGCTAAGTCACACAATAGGTAATTTAATTTGGAATTGAAAGTTTAGTTAAGCCACATAATAGACAACCTAATTTGGTATCAAATTCGTTATCCACAAAATTTGAACCTAACACCTCTTACTTTTAAGTGAAAAAAATACTACTAAATTGTAGTACTGAGTAGCTTCGTGTTTTTTTACAATATTATAATTGAACTAATACGGTCAACAATATAATATGGTTGCCTTCATATTTTAATTGAACTAATAAGGTCACTCATATTTTTAGAATAGTTTTTAGTTTTCAACGCGCTTATCCGTTGGCTAAATCACATTCACATGTAGGAAACTTGGGATACGAAAGAATTAAATTATTTATAAAGTTGATTTGGGAATAAGACACTTCAAAATTAAGAAACTTTGGATACCAAAGATGGTGGATTTTAATCATTTTATCATATTTTATCTAATAGATTGCATTACTCTTGACAGTGACATCATTAATTCGGATTATTCCCCGAAATAGAAGCGGAAGATGACGCGTGTAATATTATCGTCTTTGATTGGACCAAGACAGAAATCATATATCACCAACTTCAAAAGCAATGGACAAATACGGTATTATCCAAGGGTGATGTCAAGCAGTATTATCAACTAATACAGACAACAATATTCAAGGGTGAAGTCAGTACATTCAACCAGTGCCTGCAATTCCGGTGACTCATGTATCACCAACTTCAAAAGCCAAAAGGCATCTTACATTCTTTGCTTTTTAGTCGTATAAGAGAGTGAATCATGCATCGCACTTCTTTCCGTGGGTGTAGGAACTTACCTGGTAATTAATATAAGCAAACCCCATAATTAATTAATTATTTCTAGCAACATTTTCAAAGACATATTTTCAGTTATTTGGGTTTTAAGAGATATTATGTAGGATCCCTCAAAATTGATATATTTTCAAAGACAACCCCAGAATTGAACGGGAGAGGGAATTGGTTCAATTACAATAATACGATGGTGGATGAAATATTATAACATTTTCTCCAAAAAGTTTTCAAAATAACATGTGTTCACATAGGAGCCTTCCAAATGAAAGAAAGAAAAACCACTCCTGTTCGCAGATTGACAAAAGTAGAATACGGTAGCAAATACTTGGTGTCGCAATAGTAATTGCACGCTAGAATTGATTTACTCTTCACATCTTGATCAACCTGAGAGAAAAAGGATAACTCATTCATGTTGGACTTCATGAACAACAGAAAGGACAAAGATTGTCTACCCTTCCATTTCCCGCGTCTTTCTGTTTTATGTAGTCACGGTTAAGTCACTTCAACATTTTATATTATTTTTTTATAGAGATAATAAGATAAAAATGAATAATAATATAAAATGTTAACGTAGCTTAACCGTGATCACACAAAAAGAAGAATACGGAAGGACACGAAAAGTGAGAAGGCAGTCAATCTTTGTCCCAACAAAAAATGCATGAATATGGAAACTTCAAGCATACATTTAGTGTCAGCCTAACAATATGGAGTTTTTCAACAAGACAATCCAGTGGGTTGTCATCTCGGACATCTGAAAAGAATACACGCCCACAAGCAACAGTAGCACAGTGCTTTATGACCTGCAAGAAAGCAAAAAGCTAATAATTCAGTGCCCAATAGCAGGATTCTTACTTTTTAACGTAACAAAACCATGAAACAAAGCATTTGGAAAGAGAATCATGAAAATGTTTCTTTCGAAATATCTTACAGTGTCTCGTGATCTATAGGACCATTGTGCAGTAAAATATAGGGAACTTTAACGAAAAGCACCCGGTATTGTTCACTTTAACGAAAAACCACATTTTTACACTAAAAAGTCAATCATGTTACTATTCACTTTACCCTTTATTTTGTCCTTATCATTAAAACTCAAAGTTTTCAAGACTTTTTCATTAGTTTTCCTTAAAATATAACAACCCACCAATTGCCTCAAACATTTTCAGAGTCTTACAAATGTAGGGTTCTTCTTTCGTCTCTCCCTAAACATAAAAATGAATGAGAAACATTGTCAAATCACATGATAGGCAAATAAAACAAAAGTACATAAAAACATTCTATGCACATGAATCACTCACTACAACCAAAATTTCAGTTGAGTATGTTTCTACTTTGAAATATAGCCCGTCAAATTACATAATATAACCCTTAAGTTGTGGAAAAGAACCATTCATGTGAAATTTGCAATGAATTGGCATGTCAAGAATCATATAATTTAGAGGTTCCAACAATCATGGAGATAAACAGATGGATTGATGAGCAGAAAATTGATCAAAAAGTTATTTTGATATTAGCAATCAACACTTAAATAATAATTCACTCATTAACAACCACGTAATATGATTTACAAAATAAGGTTTTAATAGATCGTTCCCTAAGGGTGCGTTTGGTACGCAGACGGAACGGAACGGGACGGGACGGGACGGAACGGGACGGGACGGAACGAAGGTGTAATTTTTGAAAAAGACATGGGGTATATTTGTCTTAAAATGATAAAACATTGTGTTCCACAGACGTGGAACAAACCTATTCCAGGGGGGGAGGTGGGACGCAAAAACACCCAAAATCTGTCCCGTGGAACAGTCCGTTCCACCCATTTTTGGCGCACCAAACGCGGGACGGAACGCCTCGTCCCGTTCCGTCCCGTCCCGTCCCACGTACCAAACGCACCCTAATAGTACCCTTTATTTCAATTTAGTTTCTGGTCAAAGTTTAAGAAGCCAATGCACTAAAAACAAGGAGGTTACAAAAAATGTACATCACTTTTGTATTCCATCCATACGGCTAAATGGTAAAGTTAGTTTTCTAAGAAGGCAAAAATCAGTTGACATGTGATATAAATCCAATAAAACATTACTAGACCAATTATCTAGTCTTCCTTTTCACTAGTGAGTGTTTCTACATTTATTACTGCTAATCATGAAAACTCACTTGCACATGGGGATCATCATAGAGATCATAAGTGATTCCATCTACCAACGCCTTTGTGTAGTGACGACGAGCTTGAATTATACTCTTTGTAATTGTCCTTTCATAACTTTTCTTCCTTTCTTTTCATGACCCGATGAATAACATAGAACACTCACAATTGATTACTAGCTATGCATAATTGTACTTGACAATATTACAACAGAATGAATTTATCCCGCTTCATACACATTTTATTGGGACATGAGGCGGACAGGAGGGAGGGAGGGTTTCACACCCCACCCTGCCGCCACCACAAGATTCATCCCTCATGTTCTCGTCACAACGACAAAATACTTTGCAAATTCGACAACTTTAACATTATTCAAATCCAACAAAGAACTGTAAAATCAAGGTTGAAAGCCTAAAACCCAAAAATTCTTGAAACCAAATCTTTGATACCATGTTAGACAACACCGAGAGGTAAAAATCATACGAATTTAGGAAATGGGTAAAGAATTAATCCTACCACAAATGCTACAGCGCTACATTAACGCTTGGACACACATATATTCTAAAACCCATTATTTGTCTTATCATATACCACTTATCCTTGAAGTTCACAGTGATCATCTATAACCCCTAAATCTCCAACATTTTCACAAAATACAAATTCAATTCTTATAAAAAAAACAAAACAAAATCTATCGGTTTGCCAATAAACCTCTCCCACGTATCGCTTGGGGTATTGCTTACGAGCCTCCTCATCTTCCATCGGTTTGCCAATAAACCTCGATTCCTCTCCGTCTTCATCAGCCGCAGCTACCTCCTGAATCACTGACTTCCTCGGCGGAGAAGCAGCTTTTTCCACACTCGTTGCTACTTCCTCTTCAACTCTCGCCTTCCTGGTTTGCCTCGTGTTCTTCGATTTTGGAGAAAAAGCAGATTTTTCGACAATCACTGCTACCTCCTCTTCAACTCCTCCCTCCTTGGTTTGCCTCGTCTTCTTCGATTTCAGCAGAGAAGCAGCTTTTTCAACACTCGTTGCTACTTCCTCTTCAACTCTCGCCTTCCTGGTTTGCCTCGTGTTCTTCGATTTCGGCAGAGAAGCAGCTTTTTCCACCCTCGTTGCTACCTCCTCTTCAACTCTCGCACTCCTGGTTAGCCTCGGGCACTTCGATTTCAGCGGAGAAGTAGATTTTTCCACACTCGTTGCTACCTCCTCTTCAACTCTCTCCTTCTTGGTTTGCCTGGTCTGCTTCGATTTCGGCGGAGAAGTAGCTTTTTCCACACTCGTGGCTACCTCCTCCTCAACTCTGGCCTTCTAGGCTTGCCTTGGGTTGTTCGATTTCGGCGGAGGACCTGAAGAAGTTCCGCCTTCCACTTCCGCTTGCACGTCATTCTGCTTACGGCGGAGAGAGGGTGAATCGCCGGAGAAGAAGGTGGATCTTTGAGAGAGAAAGAGAGGGGAAGAAAGAGAGAGAGAAATGGGAGATAGGGTTTTTTTAGGGTTGGATTGGGGTTATGCTTTATAGTGGGCCGTGAAACTATGGAATGGGAAGTGCACGGCGTGTGGGCGGGAAAACGGGAAATTTGGAAAGTGGGGTTTGAATTTTGAGGTGACGTTTGGTTTTGGAGCGCAAGGAATTTGGGGGGTGTTTGGTTGCGGGGGTTAACTTTTCGGTGTGTTTGACTCTATTTCTGTTTCCATTTTTGACCTTTTTCCGATTTGTATAATATTAATTGCCAAATTTACCATAAATGTGTGTTATAAGCGAGGTACGGCAAAGGGTTAATAAAATAGTTCAAGTTTCTTTTGTAGAAAATAGAAATTAGGGTTTGTTTATGTGGTGTAGATCTTTTTCCTGGTAATTTAATAATGAAAGTGGTGTCATTTAGTACTATGTTTTAGTGATATTCATTTTCACTTATAAGTGAAATGTCTTAGATTCGATGTTCGCCAAACACAAATTTTTATTATGAAACTAAGCCCAACCCATCTCTTCTAAGATAGATAATATTATAATTTGTTTAAAAATAAAAAAAAATAATGAAGGTGAGAACTTGGATGTTGAGCAGAAAGGTGACTACTGAGGCACCAAGGTCGAAGTTCGAAGTAATGGAAACCAGGATCCTCTCCGGATCCATTCCCTAGATATCTCGTAATTTTGTCCGTTCATTTTATATCATGCGGTCATTTTTCGTTAGGTACTATTCATATTTGAATTTTAAATTTTAAATCATTTATGACCGTACGATATACGATGAACAGACATAATTACGGAATCCTTAGGATCCCTAGGGAATGGATCCGGAGAGGATCCTGACTCGAAGTTAATGGGTACACAATCGGATGGTGGGCCTTATCCAAGAATCACCACTTGACTTCAAACCGGTGTGGCATGGCTTCATAGTTCATAACTTCCATTCCACCTTGGTGGCTTGGCTTCACTTGACTGCATGGCTTCATAGTTCATAACTTCCATTCCACCTTGGTGGCTTGGCTTCACTTGACTGCATGGCTTCATTCGAATGGCTTGGCTTCACTTGATTACAAACCTGAGTGACTTCAAATCTTCTATTTCAATAAAATAATAGCGACAAGAAGTCTTCTCTGGGAAATTAAAGCTAAAGAGTGCTACATCGAATTGAAAGGGTTCAAAAAGTTAGGACCCACATAAACATGCATGGAATTCCATCCCCCTTTCTTTTCTCTCCTCTCACGCACTCCATCTTCTGAATAGCGTAGGTGTTTTGTCCGAATCTGCTACAAGGAAAACGCGTGCTGCCATCGTGGCTTCGAACAAAAAGTAAATAATAATGATAAGGAAGAGAAGTCTAGGTACACCGGAAAATGCAAAGAAGCGCGAGAAAATGCCATCGTGGCTTCGAACAATAAATAATAAAAATATGGAAGATAAGTATTTTCTGAACTCCTCAAAAGAAATGTCAAATTATAAAAGTTAAATTATAATTAATGGTGCAATCTAAAGCCTTATGTCAAATTTTGTAATTCTCTAATCGAATTGTCAAATATTATTTTATTATTTAAATAAGACTTTAAATGATTGTAATTATTAAAAAAATGTTGAAATAAAATTTTTATTCGTTGAAATGTTAGTGGAATAAGAGACCTACCATTAAAATGAATTAAAAATAAATTTAACATTGATGACAAATTTGACATCAAATCACTAAGATCATCTCCAAAGGAGATGTCAAATCCTAACTGGAATGTTATGTAATCAAATTTGAAGGTAAGAGCAAGCTCCAACCGATATACCAATCATATATGAATACATATGAGTTTTCATATGTCAAATTTGACATATGAGAAAAGGTGATATCAAATAATTTTTAATTATTTTATTGTGTGGATCCCATTAATGCACCAATTATAGATCTTTGAAATTTATTTTAATTGATTTCTTTTTAAAATGAGTCCTACAAATATAATTTATAATAGAAAAATATATCGGTTGGAAATAGAGAAAATCTGACATTACCACGTCAGCCATCAAATTAACATTTGACATTTATCTTTTGACATTTCTTTTGGAGATGCTTTAAGCTTTCAAATCCAATCAGTAAATAACACTTTGGTTGGAAAGACTTTTGATGTCAAATATGTACAATGGCATTCCACCTAGGATTTTGACATCTCATTTGGAGATGCTTAGATGATATTCAACCCTTGGTTAAAACCTAAAATATAGATTTTAAACTAACAAGCCACTTAGTACTACGATCTAGTGGTATTCCACTACACTTGCAAGTGAGAGGTCTTAAGTTCGATTATCGACAAAGGCGAATTTGAACCACATTATTGATAGTCCACTGTGAGGCAAGTCCAACCCCTCCCCTTTAGCGTAGATAAATTTTGAGAAATTTTATCCTAGAATTTAAGTCTAGGTAAAAAAAACCGGCTCACCAAAATTTAGGTTTTAAACTAACCATATCATTATCCAATGGTAGGATCTAAAATAAGTTTTAGTTTAAAAGCTAAAATTTGGGCAATTTTAAATACATTAAATCCAACGACTACAATCAAATCTAAAGATAAAAAACAAATAAAAAGGAGCTCAAAATTAAATCCAACTGCAAAAACAATTAAACATATAATTAAATCAGTATTCACCCAAAAACATTACAAATACATGTTTTATGGAGTCGTTTTAGTTAAAATATTTATAAAATGAATTATTATAATCTACGTAAATTTTACTTTGAAAAAAATAGGTAAAAATAATTTAGCATAAATTCATTATTTAATAATCTTACAATAAAATTTTAACCCATAACTATTAGAGCAAGTCCACCCCTAAGGACTTTGCGCCAGCACCCAGCGCATTTATCCACTCAAATGAACAGTAATAGACTGGAGTGAACAGTAATAGGCCAAGGCATCTCCACCCCTAAAAACATGCGCTGGCACCCAGCGCATTTATTTGGTGTGTTTTTTTTTTTTAAGTTTATTTCGAATAAGATTTTTAACCAATTTCAGATAAAATTTCAAATAAACTTAAAAAAATACACACTAAAATAAAATTACATACTCATCAAATAAACTATAAAAAAAACACACTAAAATGAAATTACATAAACTCATCAAATACACTTTATTCTTCAACCACAAGTTTTTTGGTATTTTTTTTTCACACAAAAAGTATATGAAAGCTTTGGTAGAAAGTGTAGAAAATATTGAAATGTGGTGTAAGGTGGAAGATGAGAGTTAGGTATTTATAGAAAAAATAAATAAATTTTTTTTTTTAAATTTTATGTATTTTTTAATATTTTTTCTGTATGTTTTAATAAATTTTAATTAGTTAATTAACGTGGACCGTTGATCTGTGATCGGACGGTATATTTTAAAAGTAAAATTTAATTTTTTTTTACCGTTGGAAATCCAACGGTCTAGAAAAAGTAGCCGTTGGAAATCCAATGGATATAAGCATGCCACGTCGCTGATGGGATTCGGAGCACAAGTGGGCTGACAGCCCTGTCGGCTACTCGCGGCAGCGCCTGCGTGAAGCGCACGCGCCAGGCAAACTGCCCAGCTTCTTGCTCAGTCTGTTTTGGGCTGATCCAGAGCCCAGCTCGGTCTGGGTACCAGTCAAATTGAGGGGTGGACTTGGTTGACAGGGTGCTGGCCCTGTTTTTGTGCTGGGTCCTGGGCAAAATCCACTGGGGTGGAATTGCTCTTAGAGTAAAAAAAAAAAAAAAAATTTGTTTCTTAGCTAAAAAATAAATTTTCACATGAAGGGAAAAAATGAATAAATAACTCATAGCTCACGTTTCCGGCTCAAGATACACGAAAAATGAAGAACTAATGGATTCCCGCGCATTCAACTTCCCCAATACACAAAAATTACAAACTAATCAAAGCCGAAAGGAACACTGATGTTGGTTCACCATGGACAATGGAACATGGCAAATTAAGTGCCGAAGATAGTAATTTTTGCCTTGTCCAGTTTGATTCATTTTATATCTTGACATTGTTAACTGTTTCGAAGAGTTTATCGCGTGTTGGTGTTCAATGCAATGCACAATATAGCAAATTAAGCTAAAAATGTATTTCGTTTATATAGATAGACCAGGAATGTTTTAAGTTTTGAATCTCTATGTTTCTTAACAGGGTGAATGAGAATTTTGACTCAAGAAAAATGCAGTGAGTTATGAATTGAAATATCAACACTTCATATATACAGGATTGTTGAGTGACCAAAACATTGTGAGGCTCTTATAAATATTACGTTTTGTTTTATTTTGCAACAACGATCGTATGTACATTCGTGTTAATGGACACTTGCGTTCTTTCAAGGGGTTCAACAGATTGTTGCTTTCTCTGTGAGGTACTATAAACTATAGAAAACTTCATTTCTTAATATAACTTCGAGTGCCTACATATCTCGTTGCGCCAATATTGCATCATAAAGTAGTATAATGCCGAAAAGTATAGCAACCAATTGGAGCAAAATTATATGTATTGAATCATTTGGACTTAAAAAAAAAAATTGCATAGAAATTCGGAAAAAGAGGAACAAATTAAAGCAAAATTATATGTGCTGGGCAATTGAGACTTCCCTAAAAATGTTACTGAGCTCTGCTGCACGGAATAGCGGACTTTGTCAAAATCAAAGGGTCGATCGCCAAAATTTTTAAACATAAGATGATAAAGATTGAGCGGAAAAGAGAGAAAATGAGAGAATCCCAAACAAGATTATAGAAAGATATCCGAAATGATGATGATGATAGGAATGTTTACAAGCATATATAGCTTTACAAACCGAACACATCTGACACTAAAATGTTGAGTGCTTATGAACGTTGAGGATCGAGTTTTCTCAACTTCTACAGAGATCTAACTTGACATATAATAAGGTAATCCTAACCCATTTACAACAGCATTGCATTGCAATCAATTGAAACAGTTTCTCTCAACTGAACAATGAAATAATCCAAAACAAAATATATGCACAGAAAATTAAAAACTGAAAAAGCTTTAAATTCCTACATCAATATATATCAAATACCACGTAGTTAATTTGAAATTGTTCCAAAATGAAAAAAAAAAAAAAAAAAAACTGGCTTCTTTGGTTGGCCAATCAATCCTTTTCTTTTTTAATCATTTTAAATCATAAAACTTCGAACATTATTGCAAATGGAAGAGCATACAACTCTAATCATTTTGATTACACTAAGCTCTATAAATGTGCCCAATTTGAATGCATGAAATTTCCATCACCGAAGAAGGTTAGGCATTTTTGGAAATAATTGGAGAGATGGAAAAGACAAATAGAGGGACATGGTTGGATTGGAATAAAGTTGTGACAAAGTATTTTAACATTTTTTTCCCACAAAATACGTAAGGGGAGGAGGAGTTCGGCTAAGCCACACAATGGGCTACCTAATTTGGTATCGAATAAGACCTCTCACTTCCAAGTGAAGAAGAATACCACCAGACCATAGTACTGAGTGACATCAAAACATTAACATAAAATAAATTAAGAAATAGGAACTTACCGTTACAAGATTGACATTGGCCAAATGGGCAGCAAGGCACAGGCCAGTAGACATCACTCCACAACCAGAATATAGGTCCAGGAGCCTTACTTGTGATTTGGCACACACCATTTGACAGCTTTGAATCAACCTCACTATCCAAACAAACATCATCCGAAACAGAGATAGTTGAGTCATCACTTCCAGACTGCATAATTTCTGAAATTTCAAAACCAGAAATAACATGTGAACACATAGGAGCCTTCCAAATGAAAGAAAGAAAAAACCAGCATCATGACAGTAAGTAGAAAGAGAACAATATCCTGTTTGCAGATTGACAAAAGTAGAATACGGTAGCAAATACTTGGTGTCGCAATAGTAATTGCACACTGGAATTGATTTACTCTTCACATCTTGATCAACCTGAGAAAAAGGATAACTCATTCATGTTGGACTTCATGAACAACAATAAAAGCATGAATATGGAAACTTCAAGCATGTATTTAGTGTCAGCCTAACAACATAAAGTTTTTCAACAAGACAATCCAGAGGGTTGTCGTCTTGGACATCTGAAAATAATACATGCCCACAAGCAACACTAGCACAGTGCTTTATGACCTACAAGAAAGCAAAAAACTAATAATTCAGCGCCCAATAGCAGGATTCTTACTTTTAACGTAACAAAACCATGAAACAAAGTATTTGGAAAGAAAATCATGAAACGGTTTCTTTCGAAATATCTTACAGTGTCTTGTGATCTATAGTACCATTGTGCAGTAAAATATAATAGCCCACCAATTGCCTCAAACATTTCCACAATCTTACAAATGTAGGGTTCTTTTGTCTCTCCCTAAACATAAAAATGAATGGGAAACATTGTCAAATCACATAATAGCAAATAAAAACAAAAGCACATAAATACATTTTGTGCACAAGAATCACTCACTACAACCAAAATTTCAGTTATCTTTACTTTGAAATATAGCACGTCAAATTATATAAATATAACCCTTATGTTGTGGAAAAGAACCATTTATGTGAAATTTGCAATGAATTGGCATGTCAGGAATCATATAATTTGGGGATTCCAACAATCATGGAGATTACTAGATGGATTGATAAGCACAAAATTGGTCAAAAAGTTCTTTTGATATTAGCAATCAACACTTAAGTAATAATCCAATCATTAACAACCACATAATATGGTTTATATAATAAGGTTTAAATAGATAGTCTCCCTAACATCACCCTTTATTTCAATTTAGTCTTCTGCCAAAGTTAAGAAGTCAAAGCACTCAAAACAAAGAGGTTATAAAAAATGTACATCACTTTTGTATTCCATCCATACGGGGTAAATGGTAAAGTTAGTTTTCTAAGAAGGCAAAAATCAGTTGCCATGTGATATAAATCCAATAAAACATTATTGTGAACAAAACTAAATCTTCAAATTATTGATTTTGCTAATTTTTGTGGTGTTGCAATAATAAGGAAACAAGTATGATTATACAATCACATAAAAATCCAATCAGAAAACAAACAAACAGTAACCAGCCTGTTAAAACACAAAAGGACTACTTGGAGTAAGCCGACGAAAAAATATACAGATGAAGTAAAAACTAAAACTTACTCGTTGGAGTTTTTTTGCCCATTCCTCTTTGCCTTCTGCACCAATGCAAGGATCAAAGTCAAAACTAGATAAGGGCAAAAGGTTGTAGAGCATTCCACAAACATATATCAAGCTAATGCCATTGGTTGACACTCAAGTTTAATATCTTCAGCATGTATTTCATGAAGCAAATACAGTGGCAGATGAATCACCTTCACTTCTTTTGGTCATAACTAACCTAATGTATTAGTTTGCTTCTCAAGTTTTCCAATTACCAAAGGGCGATACTCTTTGTAATTGTCCTTTCATAACATTTCTTCCTTTCTTTTCGTGACCCAGTGAAATACATAGAACACTCACAACTGATTGCTAGCAATGCATAATTCTACATGACAAATTTACAACAGAAAGAATTTATCCCACTTCATATTTTATTGGGACGGGAGGCGACAGGAGGGAGGGACAGAGGGTTTCCCACCCCATCCTGCCACCACCACAAGTTTCATCCCTCATGTTCCCATCACAACCACAAAACAGTTTGCAAATTCGACAACTTTAACATTATGCAAATCCAACAAAGAACTGTAAAATCAAGGTTGAAAGCTTAAAACCCAAAAATTCTTGAAACCAAAGCTTCGATACCATATTAGACAACACCGAGAGGTAAAAATCATACGAATTTAGGAAATGGGTAAAGTATTAATCCTACCACAAATGTTACAGCTACATTAACGCTTGGACACACAAATATTCTAAAACCCATTTATTTGTCTTATCATGTACCACTTATCCTTCAAGTTCACAGTATGATCATCTATTACCCCTAAATCTCCAACATTTTCACAAAATACAAACTAAATTTAAAAAAAAAAAAACCAAAATCTTGAAACAAAATCTCTCACCTCTCCCACATATCTCTTGGGATATTGCTTACGAGTCTCCTCATCTTCCATCGGTTTGCCACTAAACCTCGATTCCTCTCCGTCTTCATCAGCCGCAGCTACCTCCTGAGTCACTGGCTTCCTCGGCAGAGAAGCAGCTTTTTCTACACTCGTTGCTACCTCCTCTTCAACTCTCGCCTCATTGGTTTGCCTCGGATTCTTCGATTTCGGCGGAGAAGCAGATTTTTCCACATTCTTGGTTTGCCTTGGGTTCTTCGACTTCGGCGGAGAACCTGAAGAGGTTTCGGCCTTCTACTTCCGCTTGCACACCATTCTGCTTACGGCGGAGAGAGGCTGAGTCGCCGGAGAAGACGGTGGATCTTACAGAGAGAGAGAGAGAGAGATGGGCGATAGGGGTTTTTCAGTGCGCGAGTGATTGGATTGGGATTCTGTTTGGTTTTGGAGCGTAAGGACTTTGGGGATGTCTGGTATCGGGGATGACTTTTCGATCTGTTTGGCTCTATTTTTGTTTGCATTTTGACCTTTTTTCCTATTTGTTTAATTTTAATTACCAATTTACCATAAATAAGTGTTATAGTTGTGTAAACATACGATGAATGTATGATGAGAATTAATAGAAAGTTGTAGGGGTGTGCTATCCACACACCCCAAATTACTTCTCACACACCCCTTGTTAATTTCTATCCGTTGATTTTCTTCAATTCATCCGATCCGACGGTCAAAAATTAGAAGAGTGTGTGAGAAGTAAAATGGGTTGTGGGGATATCACACCCCAAAGTTGTAATAAAAGAGACAACGTATTAATTTCGTGAATATTATATGGCGTAATATTATGTATTATTAGTAATTAATGAGGAACTTGCATGCATAATGAGCAAAACCACGTACCAAGTCCCACCACGTAAAATTACTATTCATTGCACCAAAATTAGCAAAAGCATCCGCCAAACAATTTTGTTCCATAGAGATTTAACGATGAATGAATACTCAGTGATATTTCTCTTTATTTATAAGTGAAAGGTTTTACGTTCAGCTCTTATTATTGATGAGTTTGATACTAAATTAAGGGGGAGCGACTTCATGTCTCCCTAGAATAATTCATTAATAATGTTTCTGAAATACAATTAAAAAGTTAAGTATAAAGTTTCTATGTACTTTAAAATCCCTAGTTCAAACATATAATTTTTTCTGCACGGGGAAGGACGGAGGAGAGACTCGGTGGACTTAGATACGATGAATTGATGTGGAAAAAATGACCTATATAATGAACCAATTTGGGACGTTCGTTGTGGAATATAAACTTAGTATAATGCTATTTATATCACATATTATTAACAGTCGTGTTGACCACTCTTAATCAATAAATGTGGTAGCACAGATTCAGAAACTCATGGTGAAAATTGAACTTACATATTTGATTGATGTTGTCTAGGGGCTTGTTTGCCCACAAGCTTTAGTTTGAATGGTTTTAGAATTTGAACCATTAGAGGCAGCTCAAGCATGCACTCACTACCTTTATGTTCATACGACAAACATAGCAGATAACCCACAAGCATGCATTCACCACCTTCATGTTCATACGACAAACATAGCAGATAACCCAAGACGTAATCTCACCCAAATTTATCTCACACACAAATTGACTCTTACCAAGTTACCAAATTACCAAACGAATGAGCAATGAATTTGCCACACACTCATGACTTCAAACGGTGATCTCCACCCAAAACTCAATGAGAGAACTTTCTAAACTAATGGTGTTGGCACACAAAATAAACTAACCCTAAGATCCTATTTATAGGCATAGGACTTAGGTTACAATGAGAATCCTAATCCTAATCCTAATTAGAAGTAAATCTAAATCTTCATCAAATAGGTAATTAACAAAATCTCTCTACTTAAATCAAACCCAAATAGGACACTAAAACGAAATAGGTAACACAAACCTAATTTATGCATCATCTTAATTTTGAGCTGTAAATCACAACAATTCCACCCCAATGAGAAATCATCAAACTTTCAAATTAATATAAACTTCAAATTGGGATACCAAAATACGCACACCAAATTCTTTCAAAAACTGATCTGCACCACGAATCTAAAAATCCAAAAGTCTTCAAAACTTGAAAGTTCCTCCAACGCCTTCTCCAACAAATTTCGTTACGGAAACTAACAAATACAAGCCAAAGAGTCTATGCAAAGCTCGAATAAGCAAACAAAAAAAGTGCGAACACTTCCCCGCTCGAACATCAAACTCCACCTTGTGACAAATACAGAGTGAACAAATGTTGCCTCAAAGACTACCAAATGTGATGGGTAAACAAGCTTTCCAACTTGAGCCACTACTCTGATGCAAATTTGATATCAATAACAACAAGATTGCTCCAAGTGGTCATCTTTTCCCCTTTAACACTTTCAGAAGTCCTTGTTGAACTAACGCATCATGCATCTTCAATTGCCAAATACCAAAGTCATTCCCCCAACCAAATTCTTTAAATATCAAATTTAGCCAATGACACATAAAGGTTCATCATGAACGAAAAATAAAAGCCAAATCGAAACGTAGGGTTTTGATACCACTTGTTGAACAAAAAAAAAATACAACACAATTATGAGTTTCTCCAATATAGGAGTAACTCTCTACCAACGAATGCTTTACTGATTACCAACAGATACAAGAGAACTCACAAACTAGCTCTCAAATATACAAACTTATGCCTCTCTGATCTCTGATACAAAACATCTCCTAAGGTTATCTATTTATACCAATAGATCCCTTAGCCTTACACTAAAATCGAATTGAATTCAAGAAACCAAATCCAAAACAAACTCTAGGAAGTTGTACCAATGATAGCTTGCACGCAAGCTATCCCAAACCTACTCCTTTCATTTTCATGTGTTGATTCTTGTTTTAGTTTAGGCACATGTTGATTTTATGCCAATTCCAACAGTCCGTATGGATAAAACTCTAGCCGAAGAAGCCGCCTTTGATATCGTCAGTTGTCAGTTTGCCTTGCATTATTCCTGGTATACTGAGGCGCGTGTGCAGCGAACGTTGGCTAATGTATCAGCTATGCTTGGTCCTGGGCCTCCTGGCGGTACTTCCATTGGAACAATGGCGGAGCGAATGTGATTATCAAAAATCGTAGAGAAGCTGATCAAGGGTTGAGTTTTGGTAATAGCGACAAATGGATACGTTTCGACGTAGATTTTTTCTGAAAAGAAAGTGTTCAAGCCCCTTTGGTATAGAGTGTAAGTTTCACCTGGAAGATGTTGTTGATTGCCCCGAATGGATTGTTCCCTTTCATGTTTTCAAATCATTGATAGCAGAGTACGATATGGAGCTAGTTTTCTGTAAGAACTCCCATGAATTCGTGCACACGAGTATATGAAAATACCAGAATATCCGGAGCTAATGCGAACCATTTGTGCATCGTACCATGGTAACCGAGATCAAAGCACGCTATCAGAAAATGAATGGGACGCAGCTTATTTGTATGTCACATTTGTTTTACTCACTAGTGATTTTTGTTTGTAGCACTTGTCAATAGCATTTTTATGAGGAAGTAGTTTGTTGTTTGGCATGCAACCAACTAAATGTTTTATATTGTATAAAAGCTTTTTGAATATTATATTGAGTTTTTGGTTGTCAAATGAAAAAGCGATTTCATTCCCCCTCACCTCTCTCTCTCCCTTTCTCTTTCTTAGCCCTACCCATTTCTCTCTCTAGCCACCTGCATATCCATGGAGGTGGGGATTTAGATAGGATGATATTTGAATAGCTAGTGGGAGGTGTGCTGGTCCTCGGTGGAATCGAGACCTCTGTAATTTCGTTAATTTGAAAGGAGTTAGGGTTTTTTGGAGGATGAGATTTGAATGGATTTTGAGCTTCTGCGATGGTAGGGATCATGGGTGAATGCATTGAAGGGTAGGGGTCAGCTGACCCCCAAACTTCAGTGAATGTTCAGAGATAGCTTGAGTGTTGATCTTCCGAACTTCGATGAATGTCCATAAATGAGTTGGGTGTTGCCCTTTTAAAGATTGGAGTTGCCCTTCATATATGCCCTTCAACTGCTTGATAAAATGCATTAGAGACGTGTTGCCCCTTTATAGTATGGTCCTAATATTATTTACCTCTGACTTGTTTGTTGATTGTAATTACAATTGTAGGTAGAAAAAAAGAACCAAGTAAAAAACTATCCAAAAATGCAAAGTAAATGAAATGGTGATCTCAGAGAATAACAAAGCATCATCATTATTGGACAAACATATTAATGGGATACAATAATATCAAACATTGTTAGTGTATTCAAGATAAGTGTATTTATTTGTTAACCATTTATATGGAAGCAGCCTTGGAACATATTAGTTACCCACGCAAATGAGACATTAACAGGTGTGCAGTATGCATTTCCAAATGACTTCAGGGCTACCAAGATTCGATGAAATGATGATACGCATCCTATTTCTGTTAAAAAAAACTTTGTGTGCTGCGCACACTATTCTTACTGATCCCCATAATATTATTTCCTAAATCCACTATTGGTAGAGATTGAGGTTGTTCGAGAGGGTGGTGTCGACAAGCTCGGGCTGGTCACCAAGAAGGTGGTCTTGACGAGCTCTTGGTCGGGTTGATTGCCTTGGGTTTTGAGGACGGAACCCGTCTGGGAGACGTGGAGATGGTGCGTTGAATAGCGGTGAGGACTTTGAGGTCGGAGAGGTAGAGCATTTAGGATGAGGGCTGGTCGGAGGGATAGGCTTCGATGTGTATTTTGCAGAAGTCCGGAGGGAAAAAGGAAGAAGGAAAAACAGGGAAAAGGGCAAAAAAAAAAAAAAATCTTCTCTTAAATTATGTTTTATTTGGACTTGCAAACTATGTTTTTATTTTCATTGCTTACAAAGAAACCTCTCTCAAATTCCCAATAATAGTATATAGATTATGGAGGTTACTTAGTACTTTGGTCTAACAGTATTCATCTTCACTTGTAAGTGAGAGGTTTTAGGTTTGATTCTCATCAAATATGACTTGAACCAAATTATTGCTAGCCTATTATGAGGTTAAGCCCACCCCTCCCTTTAGTATAGATAATATCGTTTGTTATTATAAAAAAAATAAATAAATATATATATATATATATATATATATATATATAATATAGATATCTAAAGCTATATAGAATATAGATATCTAAAGCGATTTATATCATATTTGAATACATAAATCAAAATATAAATAAATAAGATAAGCATAAACCCAACATCTGAGTTGGGCTTCAATCTCAGCCCTCACAACCCCCCAAATCCACAATCACAGATTTCCTTTTATTTTTGCTCTTGGAGCATTTTCAACAGTTTTGTTAAATTGATGCTATTTGGCAGGTGAATAGTATCAAAAAATTACTTTAACTTTTCATCTTCAATAAAACTCTTCGCAGTATTAAAAAAAAGTACTTTATTGAAGTGAAGATTACAGAGAACTACAAGTAGGAAGAAGGCTATGACTCCAAAAAAAGGC